TGTATGTATGTATATTTGCGTGTATATATATTTATAATAAAACAGACACACACACACACACGCACACACATATGTATATACATAAATATATATATATATAAGCGCATGTTTGCGTGTAAACACACATACTAGAAAAAGTATAGGCATTAATGTATACATGTATCATTGTATATACATATAAATATACACTATCAGATATATTTAGCATTTGAATTTAAATATGCATATGCAGATATCGTACCCATTGTGCAACAAATCCTTTTGATGCTTCTGAGGATATTTCTTTTCCCACTGCTTCTACAGTAGGTTGTCGCGGTGTTCTAAAAGCATAACTTCGCAATACTGACGGCGATAGCAAGTTTTTGTTTAATATACAAGATTGCGTTCTATTCCTGACTTTCTGAGTCGAAGAAAGTTTCGAGTTGCTCGAACTAATGAATCCGCGCGAAGCTACACGAGGAGTTATACTAACCGGAGACCCCTTTAAATATCCAAAAGTAGCCAACCATCGGTTACATATAACTGGTCGAACACTGCAATTTCTATACAAGGATGCCATCTTGATGTCCAACGTGTATATGGATGAGATTCTTTTTACCCCACTTCTTTATATAAATCATGACCCTATTGCAGAAGAAGAATAGAACATAGCCTTTGTTTCAATTTAGAAGGCTATGAATAGAAATACATAGAATCGTGGAAAATAATAAGTGTGGACGGACTCTCTCTTGCTCTCCGTCTCTACTAGCTCTACTCTCTACTACTAATATTTAAATAGTTGTAGAGTCTCGCCCTACTCATAACTCAACTGCTGTATTTACTTTAATTTATACTGAGAATTTTGTTTCTACAAAATAAAAAAACATGATTTCAATAATCATATCGATCCCATCTTCAATTCAAGATGTTCGGTACCATAGTGCCAGCTGAGATCGGTCATCGGTTACACAAATTCAGTGATTCATAGACGCCGCAAAATATCACCAAAATAATAACCACTGGCTGTCGCACACTTATACATAAATAGCGGGAGACTACTATGGGGTAAAAAATATAAAAATGTAACTTTTCTTTGCGTTAACTCTTAGTACGTGCACATAGACAGAGGAGAGTAAGAGGTATACGCGCTCGTGGTAATACATACACTTGACGTGAGAAGCTTGCCCTCGAATACTAAATATACACGAATAACGTCAATCAGATCATCTGGCTCTGAACCTGAGTTCAGATATGTGCCATGTGATAGATATAGACACGGAAGCTCGCCCCGCACAACTCGAACATCATGTCTTCAATACAAAGAGATCTAGACAACTGGCTTCACGCTAAACTAGACGATCCCTGGGGTGGTGAAAGTATTTCGAACATTCTCTCGGCCGAGCAGCTGAGCGAGATTGCCGCGAGATTCACAAGCTTTGAAACACAGATTAAGGTTAAAATTCTATTGGGTATGTTTGAGAAGCGAACATTTTAGGCATGGTAGCTTGTTATTAGACAGCTGTAAGTAGATGTTGATACTGTGATAATTTAACTTGTATCGTTGTCCGTATGTGACGTTGGCAA